TAGACCCCCAGTTCAAACTATTAACTGTATCGCTGTATAAGCGCTTCGTGACTTTCCCTTGTGTACCCAAAGCTTTACCTTTGCTAACATCGTAACCCTAAATTCCGTTTAAGGTATAAACTCCCTTTACTGGCTTGTGTTTATTTCAAAGAAATGGTTCAAGCCGCAGGCAACGTCTGTGTTAGACACGTGTACAGTTTAAAAAAATAAACTGTTACGTAGTTATGCGTATATGAAATGCAATAATGTTCTTTACACCATCGCTGTTTCTCTTCTTCCTTCCTTCTTTCCTTCCTAAGTTTTTATTGAATTATACTTGGTTTATTTATATTTTTCGTCGTTAAATCAATAATGTTCATATTATACAAAATTGTTCTTTTATTGTAATTAAGTGTCTATTCAGTTATGAATCAATTGAGTACATACCATTCTTGCAAAGTTTATTTAAAAGAACGACCCAAAATTCAATATTTTCTTAAATATTGCTATTAAATTACTTTGGTTTATTTATTTTTTATATTAAAAATCATATTAAATGGTAAGCATTTGAATGAAACAAATGGATTTTATTATATTTTATCAATTCAAGTATTCTTATACTTGAATAATATTTACTGTACTTATCTTTATATATTGATGAAACTAGAATTCATATAATTACAATATCAACAGCTAAATAACTATGACGCTATAAAGCAACTGGAGCAAAATTTACATTTAAGTAAACAAAGGTGTATGTATTTTTGATCCTATTAAAAACAGATGAAAAGCAGGCCATCCTTATTTCTTACTGATGTAATATTTTGTTGTTTGAAACAAAATACCCATGACAGAGTATTAGACCTTTTCTTTTGTTCAACTATACCTACGTCATATGTACTTACATGTAGTACGTATGTATCTTTATTCATATACTTTCATAACAGAATCATACATATTTTATTCATGTAAGTAGATATTTATAGATGTTTGTTGTTTCTAAATTTTAGAAAGTTAAGTAAATCTTGCATATTATATATTATAATTATAACTGTGGAAATATGGCTGTTTGTCAGATTATTGTCTTCATATGACTAAACGGTTCTTAGTGACATTTGACATGAAATAAATTGATAAAGTCTACCCGTGGTCCACTGAGACTTATTTCCGGAATCCAAATTCTGTTTGCGCCTCCTTGTTTTCGCAAGACCGAGCTTCCATCACCATCATCTGTTCACCACATCGTGATGCCCGATAGTGTACCCGCCTGCACTAACGATGGCCATGGCGTGAGGACAGTTAGCCCATTGTAACAAATTCAACACGAATTTATCATGATGGTTTCCAGAGGCCACTGCGTGGAGGTTCATCTGACGTGGTACATTACTTGTAATGGGGAGTCATCAGTCTACATTAGTAACAATCCCCTTTGTCCTCTATTCATGAAGACTAAGATGTTATTCATCCCTACCTTATAACTTTAACTGCCATATAATAACCCTTTAAAGCTCATCACAACTTACAAATAAAGTAAGTTAGCGGAAGAGATAGATGCCTCGGTCTCATAGACGATTTTGTGACAAGTCTACTGTAATTGTTGAAGTAGTGTTTACAATAAGCAGTTTCTTAGAATTGACATTTTAGGTATAATAATGTGATACATTATTATACCTAAAATGTCAATTCTGTTTTAGAAAATATATTTATAAGTAAGAGGTTCATATTAGAAAATACTTTACTTTTGAATACGATTCTATGAAGTAGCAAATATGTACGTGTTGTTGAGTTTTGCTCTGAAGGATAGATTCAGAGTGTAAAAGCAAAGGAAAGCTTTCTGTTACATAATCCTCTGCTATATCGCTGGCAGTTTAAAGTATTATTATTTACAGAATGAATACAAACTCGCTTTGTTAAAACATTGCTCTTTTATTCGTTTTAATATTAAAAAAGCGAATTCTTATTTTACTCCATTTATCATGCACACACTTTAACAAAGTTTCAAATAAGTAAATAGAAAAAATAAAATTACTCGATTAATTGTATTTTTTATTCACACGGCGTCATCTAGACCCAAGCTAAGCATAACATGCTCTTGTTGGGTACTACCACTAGATAACTAATATAAATCCATAAATACATTTATTTTCTAAATAGATATAATATATATATAGAAAACACCCAGACAGAATTATAAACAATCATAATCATGAATGCAAATATTTATACCGTCCGAGGACCAAACCCGCAAACAGCGGAAGTAAGGCTAAACTGCTAGACTACCGAGGCCGACAAAGTACGAGTTCTTAAAGTAAAACAATTGAATTTGATTCATTATGTCTGCTACAGGTTATATTTCTGCCAATTATACGTTAACTATTGTTAATTAGATAAGTATTTAGTTATTGTATACTAATCTGACTTAATTGATGTTGTTGTCGTTACTATAGATGCCACCCTCGTCTCAAACAATTAATGGAAATTCCTGCAACACGTTAACTTAGTAGAAGTTGACATGTAACTTATACTAAGTGATAATAATAATTATAATCCAAGACAATTCAGATAGCGCCATCTATGTAGTTATTAAACAAGGCTGGAATTAATGTTTATTTATTTACAACTATTAGTATATACAGAAAACAGATCTTATATAATTATTAACAAGTGTTCAGCAATATAAGATAATCACACGCCCATAAAGTGATAAATTTATGGACGTGTGATTATCTTATATTGGATTCTATTTAAAACAATAAAATAATTTAAACCACTATAATATACATTACTTTTATATTATAGCTTTTAATTTTATTAGATTAATTTTAAAAGGCATTATGCGTTGAGGGTTATAATTATTATTATTTATTTTTAAATTAGTTGAAAAATTGTATAGAAATGGTACTTAAACAAATTTTAGAACGTCTTCAAAAAATATAATTTAAGTAGTTATGAAAAGTAAGTATTCAAGTAGGTATGAAATGTCTAGGTTAGTGAGGACGAATTTTTGTCTCAACTATGTACTTATAGAAGTATGTCTGAAGTATGTCTATATAGGTATATGTCTGGGACGCCCACTGTTTCTTTTTATCATCACATTCAAGTAATACTACTTCAAGATAACGGCAAACTGCTTGTACTGCTGTACTTGCTAATGTACATAAATTGTTACCATTATTAATTACATAAACACGTACCTAATTGAGAAAATAGAATATATGTCTATGTTGTTTTTTACTTAAATAAATATAATCAGTAGATAGTAATTAATTTAAGTAAACACGTTCACCAATATATAAAGTTCAACCACAGTTTTTATTTTCCACATGCTAGCTGTACTCGTGATTTTGTACTTTTAACTTTTTTGTTTATATTTAAATTGAAGTGAAAACTTACTAAAATGCCTTCACTTTGAGTTATTACAAGACAATTTCTTAATGTTTGCATGCTGCAAAGTAATTTAGGCTTGTACCTATTGTAGCAGTACATACCTACCATTATTAATATAGACGACCTCGGTGATCTACTATTAATTAACATACTACCTTACTTCGATTCCGATATATCACAAAAACAAAAACATGAACATGGTGACTGCTGTGCGATACAGGTATATTTATAGGTACTGTCGAGTAAAAATATTATAAACAATTTTAATTTACTCAATTTACTTCAACGCGAACTGCGTACACCCTAATAAAAAGAGCGACGTGCTGATAAAGACTGAGGAAACTTTTAGAAGTTTTTAATCAATTTATTTTCCACTCGAAGTGCTGTAATAATTGTCTAAAAGGCCTTTAAATGTTCGCTGAAGACAGATCGAATAACAGAGTAAACTCCTTTGTCTACCTGACGATGCCATTTTACTTTATTTGATTGAACTCTGTCTTAAATCTTAAGACTCTCATTTCGTATTAGAGTCTGAGTTTTCAACGTACTATACCAAAGGAAGAGTTTCTTTCTCAATTCGCCATATTTAATTAGTCTAATGATCTATTCTATTATAAATAGGTAAAGTTTGTGAGTTTGAATATCCTATTTTGAAATTCTTTTAGTGTTAGATAGCTCATTAATCGAGGAAGGCTATTGAAGAACAATAGAAGCGGAGCTTCGATGAGCTACTTATAAAGAATAAAAATAACATACATACATTTATAACTATAAGACTTCAATAACAAATTATCAATTTTATAAGAGAACGACTTTAAAACATAGTTTCATAATTTCGTATGGTATATATGTAGGTATTAAGTAAATTTGTAGAAAATAATAGAATAGATAAAGAGATACATAAGAAAGATAAACATAACAATATTCAATAAGAAATAAAACATATAAAAAATGCCAGATTATGTTATGATTATATAATCCTATTTTAAACATACAGTCTACAGTGACTAGATCCTATTATTGAACCTAAAATCTACACTCCGTAAAACTCCCCACTACACCACTGAGATCGTTAACGTTGGAGATTAAATGCTAAAGTGTTCACAATTTCAAGGAAGCAAGACTTAATTTAGATCGATATAGATAACTTCGTGGAGTTTCTAAGGGGATTTATCAAGATTGCTATCTGAGATCGAACGGGATATTCACAAATTGTGATACTAATAACTTCGCAATAAAATTAAGTCTCAGTCTCAGACTACATAATAAGTTCAGAAATAAGAGGTAGAGTAGATGTATTAGTAATATACATAGAGTCACCATTGCCTTGCCTTTGTCCTATTATTTGGGGTTAAAGCAACATGTAATCTTCTTCCACTGATTCGTATCGGTCGGCATACCTGAGTTTACTATCATTTTATGCACATCATCATTCACACAGTCTACCATCCTTTTCTTCGGTCGTCCTCTCAGTTTACATCCATATACTTTCCTATTAAAAACCTTATTTATATATAACACAAGCTCTGCTTAACTTGGGACTAGTTGGTGCGATGTGAATTGTCCTGAAATATTATTGTTTATGTGTATATATGAAATATTACCTACTAATCGAATTATTTCTTTATTAACAGAAACGTTCTCGCCGCTTCAAGAACCAGATCCTGTGCGACCTGCATTTCGCGGACGTCGCGCTCATGGAGTGCAGCGACTTCATGCAGCAACTACGCAGCTTCAAACCCCAGTCCTTGGGCTGCGCCGTCGCCAGGCGCAAATCTTCCACCACACTCATATTCCCACTGCCGCCACAGGCATGTTCAGGTAACGGAATTTATTATTACTTTTAATAATAACTTTTTTGTGTACTGATAACTAATAGAATAAAAAACAGTATTTAAAAAAACTAAAGGTAGGAATTGAAAAATTAAAGGTAGGAATTGAAAAATTAGGACAGTTTTACAGTCTTCTATATACCATTTCGAAAACAAGGCTTCACCTTCTAACATTACATAGAGTGTTATCAAATTATCTATTTTTCTTTCACAGGAATTATGTATCAGGTTGTATGCAGTATAATAAGGATTCGTGTTCTACATTTATTATATTTTTACAAAAAAAATGTTCATATATTTTGCTTATGTGTTTTATAATGTTCCAGCAAAATTTAAACATTAAAAAGTTAATTATTTGTAAGGATTACATTAAACGTAAACAACGTTTTATCGGGGAAGATCTAGCGACCTCGTATCACGGATTTAGCAACAGCACATTCCAATTTTCTGGATAATTGACAAGATTAAACGCTCAACCATTTGCGACTTGTTTTTACTGCGTTTAAACTGTGAACGAAATAATTGCGTTAAATTTTGTTTTTAATCCAATTAATATTTCTGGAACAGTAGGTATTGTTTGTGCCTAATTAAGTGAAACTAAATATACTTTTTAAATATATTTATTTTATACAGAAGTAAAGTTTAACTATAGTTTATCATTAATTCAGTTTAGGAAGTCAAAATAAAACATTAATTACCTTATCTTTATCCCATTATTTAGAGTCGCCACAGTTTATCATCTTCTTCCACTGATCCATATCAACCGTTGCATCAGAGTTTACTCTCCCTTCATGCATATCATTTTTCACACATTACAGCCATCTTTTCTTTGTTGGTCGTACCAGTTTACATTCATTTTAAATTAAAAAGCTTTCATATTAAAAACACCTAAAATCATAATTTTAGGTGTTTTTAATATGAGATATTTTTAATGTTTTTATTTACATACGTAGGAATTTTGCGTAATATTAATTTATTATATAATATTTGTGCTAAAATATAAAGGTATAGTCCCACTTGTATAATGATTATATGATCTGTCATATTATCTTGCTCCAGTGATCCATATCAACCGTTATATCTGAGTTTACTCTCCCTTTATGCATATTATTTTTCACACAGTCCAACCAACTTTTTTTTGGTCATCCTCTCCCTTTACCTTCATTTACATAGCAATTAAGTACTTTTTTGACACATGGTCCTCGCTTCTGTAAGACCAAGGTAAAGTTACTTTGACAAAAATTATTACATTATTAAAATATAATTAATTACGAAAGTATAGGAACAGTCATTAGGTCGAGTTTTCAATTCTAACAACTTATATGTCAAAACGGGGCATCATTGAATTGAAATTTATTAGAATTAATGTTGTCATAAAATTACATATAATGATTTGAGTTTGATGTTGCCATTGCACATTATATATTTAGTAAAAGTATATTCTAACATTATTTCCGCTGTCGATTCTAAAATCCGACATTCTATTTACTCGACTTCCGCCTTAAAGAGATCTCATGCGCTCTATAATGAAGTAACTGCCAATATTCTTGAAGGAAAGTATTCGCAAAATCATTGGAAACTTTACATTGTACTATGTTTCTTTACGTCTAGATTTTGAAATATATTATTATCGGTTTGTCCGACAGACTCCGTAATTTTTTCATAAAACCAGTAATAGTCGCCATATATATGATTGCACTAAGATCATTACGTTATCATGTGACATCTATGATACCACACGTAAAACCATTCCAGAGGACTAAAGATGTCACGCCTCATACCTTGTAATTTCACTGCATATTCTAACCCCTATAACTGAAACAGTTTACAAAGCAAACTATTGATGCCAGTAACACTGAGGTATCCATGCAGATAACTTTCTACCTCTGGTATGATTGGTCCGAATGAATATTTATTATTACCATAGTCATAGGTTAGGATGTATCTCTCTTCACATTAGAGTTACAATCATACAACAGCCGTTCGTCCTCTTGAATTAAGCTTGTCTCTATTTTTGTATAATTGTAGACTTATCAGGTATATTTATTTATTTATTTATTCACAAGTCTCAAAATATTCTAACATAGCAGTTCAGTCTATTATAAGACAGCTATTTTTTAAATCATAAGCAATAAAATGCTGCTTAATATAAACAGGTACAAAGCATTCTTTATCATTGGAACAGGGGTTTATTGTATACGTAAATACACAGCGTATCAGGCGAATTTCATCGCCCTTCATCATACGAGATGGTATACCTATATACTACATGTGTATTCAACGTCCCTTCCTTACGTTTGACAATAGCGGGCACCCGTCAGCGTGGCTCGTGAAATGAAATGCACAAGAACCTAATTTCCCGTCTGTTCGCAACCGGTACCGCCCGTAGATATATCAGTCCGCAACGGAAGGTAAAAACTTTCCTAATATACCCGCAACCTACGGAAGGGCTCGCGTAAACACCTACCTACCCACCTGTCTATAAAATATTCACGCTTCGTTATTTTCACGGCGCTGTCTAAATGTACGTACGTTCTTCTGCGTGCCGTTGACTTTTTGGCATTTTATATCCGCTATAGATGTTTTAAATTTTCAAGATTTACAAACACGGAATGAAATTGTTGAGGACTTTTGATGCTCATTGAATCTAATTCTTAATAAGAATTTGCAGCGAAAATATATTGATATTTAAACCTTTGCCCAGTAGTTGGACAACAGGGTAATGGTCAATAATGGTAATAACAGGTTAATATTAAAAAAAAAGTATGATTTAACTTGTTTTTATCTTGTTTAATTTAACTTAGATTTATAAAAAAATTAAATAGAGTACTTTTACAAACATACGCAGGCTTTACCTAATTTCAAATAATAGTAAGTTGAAGTGAAATCTTTTTTTCATATTTCATTCTTCTTCACTACAATCATTCGTAAATTTTCATAAATAAAATGCAATGTGTTATACAAAATTTGTCTATCGAAAAGATCAAAATTATGTATTGTCCAGGCAGAGGGCGATCCACATTAGTTATGTAAAAGGTCGAAGGTTCGCCATATAGGTCTACGTTTATATCCAAACTCAACGACTGTTCTGTAAAATGACATTGGTAATATTTAATAACTATTTAATTTTTCTAAATTAATCAGTGACAAAACTGAAGTAATTAAAAGGGAAAGAACTTACAAGAAATACGGTAAATTAATCCCTATGATACAACTTTCTTAACTAAATTGCCTTTAGCACTAATCCTAACAGGAATAAATTTATTTTAAACAAATTATACTTTCAAAGATCGACGATTTATTAAGGAATTTCAATATTCTATTTATTCCAATTACATTTTCCGAGGCCAAATATGAAGGCCAAATCCTCTTCGTTGATTTGTTATTGTTGTAATAAATCGTATCTTAGATTCTTATTTAATTGGAATATCAACAATTTGACTAATCTAAATAGGGCGTCAACTTGTTACCACTTAGCATCAGCTAATGGGTGATTACCGTTACCTATATACTTCAATAGCACATCGGAGCTTGAGAGTATCAAATGATGCCCATGGTGCTGCACTTGCAGCTGTACCCTGTTATTTCACTACCTTATCTTCTTAACCTTCACAGATATGTAGCTTACAAAATAAGCTGCAGACTGAAATGGATGGTACAGAGGTACCCTCGAGACTTGAAGAGTTTTATAAGAAAACGAATTAGATAATAAGAAAAAATCACTTAGCACTAAAATAACAGCTTTTACAAACAATAGGTTTAAAGCAACAAGGTACACGCATTAAAGGGGAGACCGGGGCCCCGGGACCGCCCACGTGACAGACTCAAATTGTGTTTGCACACCGCGTCATGGAACTAATATATTTGCCGACTACGCCAACCCACCCTGGACAAGTTTCGCACTTTACCTTCATCTATATAGGTCAGGTACGGCAGATTGATTTTTCATGTATAACTTGTAACTTTAGAAAATAACCTCTATATAAACGATATATGCAGAACTTACCTTGCAACGTTTACCACTACTTTTACAGTTTTAATTTTTATTTAATTTATTTATAACCAATAAAATATATTTCTTTAGTAACTTACGAGTACAATAAATGTTAATAAATTATAATTTAAAGTGCCGCTTTACTTATAGGCTACCACGACTTGTTGATCATATTAAATATGTAAAGTATGTACATATATACATATTGGTAAAATACTATTTCAGGTAATATTACATTAGTATATCTGAAACACAGAAGAAGCTTCATATAATTAGTTAAATTATTGTTAATGCCAAATAATATATGGTAAATTTCATAGACACTGTTACGATATATTTAAACGAAAAATTTTGAATGAAATATTGTTATAATAAAACTTATGTATAGTTACCATCTTGGGTACCTTTATCGACCTCACCTGCCCCATGGTGTCCAATTACAGGTACCTACTGTGTAGAACTACGTAGATAATTATGCAATCATCTTGTAACAGACACAATCACGCAGTAACTTGAACTATTCGGATGCTAAATGCCACCAAATTGATGAGTGGAATTTAATTTAACTGAAACGTTTACTCTGATAACTGTAATTCATTGTTAATATATGAGTAATTGTATAATATTATATAATAATAATTTCATGTTTGTTAGTAACTTAGTCTAAGTTAGTATACATATATATATTCATTTTATATGAATTAGATATATATGACCAAAAATAATATATTTAAAATTTAAACTAATCAAAAAATATGTTTATTTATTGTAAAAAATAAACAAAGGAACCAATTTAAAAAATCCCTTACCAATGTTTATAGGTATATTATCAGTAAGTAACTTGATTTATGAGTAAATGCAAAAGAAAGTTTATATATTTATTATATCGCCTTATTATTTTAACAAGGTAATTATCATGAAAGGCATAAAACATTTAGCATTTAAGATGCAGAAGGATATTTGACAAAAATATGTATGTAGATTTTACCTACTAATATTATAAAGAGGTAAAGTTCAGATGTTCAGGGCATACTCTGGCACTACGGATCCAATTTTGAATATTATCTCTAGTCTCTGAAGGGCCAGTTATGGAATGTTACAGGCTATATAACACCACGGTATAACCAATAGGAGAAAAGTAGCAATAATAAATATTGCAAAATGGGAATAGTGTGACAAGTAATGTGTGAGTTTGCTTAATTATGTGATGCTCTTACATTCTGCTATTTCCAAGTATACGTTTAGCTAGCACATATGGTATATAATCCATAATTATTGAATCCTGTAAAGCCAACTAATGTTAATAACCGCGGGTATGTAATTTAATACTTATAAGACATAATATTCATTTTTTATATACTTATGTGAGATGAGTAGTTTATTATTGTTTATCGATTCCCTGATTAAACAAATAACAAATAGTAATACGTAAATATATTTACAAGAAATATAATACATAAATTACTATTTCTTTATTGTCAATAGTGTGCAAGTTGTGATTTCTTGTTGTTGTTATTTCTTTCTTAATGTTAGTAATACTTTGTTTTTATACCTCATTATATTAATGAATAATCCTTATTTTCTTCAAATTTTATTATAATAGAAAACAGTACTGTAAAAATATTATTTTGTCCTAATAGTACCTTTTATTTCAGCAATCATTTTAAAGAATGAAGAAAGGGGCAAGAATATAGAAAAATGAAGATTATCTGTGGCTATTTGGTCCACTCTAAGTATGAACGCCAAGCATTTTTCATAGTTTGGTGTTCTACCTTACAGTGAACTAAATGCTACGCTTCTACAAAAAGAAGACGTCTGCCTTCAAGAATTTATGAAGCCTTATAGTAAATAGAAACTTAGAAGATTTTTTACGTAAATAGTACAAAATAATATTATTTCAATTATCGTTATTAGTATATTAATTTACAATATTTTTTAATAACTTGTCTTACAGAATAATATTGTAATTCTCTCTTCATGTTTATTTTTAGTAACGAAGAGAAATCGTTCAAAGTGTTGAACTATTATTAATACTAATAGGTACAGGCAACAACAAAAAAAAATATGTTACAAATATTATGTAATAGAAAATACCGATAGATATGAAAACAATGAAATGGTCATTACAAATTACGTACTCCCCGCTGCCTACCTGTTACATTACATTACGTCATACTCATACGTAACCTACATTAGATCTATCAATTTTCACACCCAACAGTCGTAACCCCGGCTTATACGACCGCATTAAGCCGGCTTTGATGATGCATTGAAACGGACGCTATATTGATGAATAATTCTGAATAAGTTTTTACAGAATAATCCGATATTATTATTTATACAGGATACACCACAAAGTAGAAACAATTATGAGTGTAGAAAATACGTAAATAATTTTCATAATATTTTTTGCCAATGGATGCCGTAGATCTAACACCTTTATTGACCAGCCCAAAGTTTAAATTTTTGTACATTCATTGTATAAATTACTTTTTATTACAATTACTTTTTATGGTTAACGTTGGTTTATTATATAGTATATTTATACAATTACTTTTTATGGTTAACGTAGGTTTTAACGTTTAACTTTAATTTTGAATTGATTTATGTTAAATTGGTATCTTTTTTAATCATAATAAATCGTTCTTTCTCAAAGAAACGCTCAGTGGTGTGCCTTCAGAGATGCCTATGTCCAACATTGGTCTGCAGTGGGTTAGTAATGATGAAATCAATCAATCATCTATTATTATTTCTGTACTACGTGTAATTCTCTTAATATATACAAGTTGTTTGTAAAATATATAATAGCTAACAATGTTAACACTTCTGTACTACACATTTTTTTGATGTTTTCTGTGTGCAAAAAATTGTTATAATTATTATGTCTCAATCAGAAATATGGAACTGTAGAGTTTAATTTCTTAAGGTTTACTTCATTTTATCGTTAAACTTCCATTTCGTTGCGCATAAAATATATTTTACTCGTTTACAAAAGCAACTTTGATTTTAAACGTTCCACTGTGTTTATAAAGTATTCATGGGTGGGTCGTCATCTTGGAATATTGTAGCCTGTAAAGAGCTGGCGACAGCGGACTCGACAAGTCGCTCTCTGTATACTTTCACAGTATTGCCAGGTCACCATCACGCATTTTCCCCAAATTTTGCGCGAAATATCCTACTCCTTTTACAGAAAGTCTATACTAGTAAGTAGTATTAGCTTAACATATATAACTTGTCAATTTCTTAGTAGGCCAACATCCCTCTTTCTTTTCTAAGCTTGTTTTCTATTATAGTCTATGAGATTTCTGTATTAACGTACCAAAAATCCTCCCTACATCAATTTTCTTCCCTCAAACATTTGTTTCCCCCTATTGCCACGATATCTTTCATATTTAGGGAAAATCCCCCAATCTGGCATCACTGTACTTTCCGCGACTGGCACATCGTCTACCTATGTAAATATTTTATTTAGACCTCTTCAAACCAGCCCCGGTAATGGGATCAGTGGCGTCATATTTTCTTTCAGGATAGGTGCAAAAATATTAAAATGGAAAACATGTGAAATTTTTATTCACTTGTGATATTTAATATTGTTCGCAAAATGATATATTATGTAAACGCGATTTTATTCAGTCTGTGTATATTGTAGTTATACCTATATATACATCCCTCTCTGTTCTGTGTACCAGATTACGATATTTACCGTTATATTCTTATCTTATTTTATAGAACATACTTTTAGTATTTCGGTAAACTAATAAACTACTTACTATATTTCGCGGATTTAAAAATAAAATTAAATGCGTATTAATTATAGAAGTATCTCTTTTTAATAAATGGTTCTACAAAGACAATGTCTGACAATGACCTTTCATCGTTCAACCGCCTTATTTTTAATTATTTGGTTTTAGAAGAAGCATCTTATATTACTTCAATTTTAAAAGAATAATTCAGACATTAATACAGAAATTGATAATAACCATATTTTTTTAAGAAAGCAACTATCTTTTCTTACTTTTTTTACTATTTCTAAAAAGATATTATTTTTCAGATGAATTTTGTGAGGAGTATCCTCACAGCCTGATCCCCACGCCGGGGTATTGGATCGAGTGTTCGCGACAGAAAATCACCACCGACACCATTTGGGATGAATCGGAGTCAGAACATGACAGTGGACCAGATCGCGATGACAATGGTAAGTTGCTACCTTTTTAATTGTAATGGCAATAAGCTGACGGCTGTTTTCCTAAGGGACAACTAACGCCTGTATAAATGGACAGCGCAATGATCATCATGTCGTTATCTACCATAATCGTAACGTCAAGATTTTTTTTAAATGTTATTTTCTTAACGGATTAATATGTCGGTTGTCATATCTTATTGACTATCGAAAGAATGTTGAATGATGAGCGATGCCATATTTCCCACACTACCTTTCTGAAACCAATGACATTCTGAGGAGACATTCGGTGCGGAACGCTCCTAGATGAAGAAGTTACCGCCAACTAAAAATCCCAGTTAATGTAATAACACGAACTAGCTAATTACATATACCGAGATAAACTTTGTACAGTGTCACATCAAAAATCGTTTTTTCATGTAAGACGTTTTAGCCACTTACGAACGTAATTTTTTTTGTATTTAGTTTTTTTCCCTGTCGTCAGCATCCTCTCTCTCTCTCTCTGTCAAAATCACCTTTTTATCACCTATTACAGCAGCTAAGCAGTTGATTATACCCGTATAAGCTGAATGTTGTTTTGAGGGGTCAGGTCATGATAGTGAAATTACAGGATAGCTATGGAGGCGTGACATCTTAGTCTTCCGGAATAACAGACACCATGTTCGTGATACTATTTGTATTTAGACAACATTTGCTACTTACCATCAGGAGGGCCGTCAACTTGTTTAGCATTACAGTTATATTAAAACAATACTGGACGAAAATATGATATTTATAATGAAAAATTAGTTGTAAATAGCAACGGATTGATAGTTAAAAAAAAACTACCTACTTTGAGATTGTAGTACAAGTAATACAATATACGCAATAGCCACAAGATGAATAAAAGCTGGTAACAGCAGGCCACTCTAATTTTGAACTTGTCTAAAACTTTTATATTTGACAGGCTACGGATTCTACATAGAAATAGAAGTTTCTAATGTCTATATATTACATGAACGTACTTAGCCAATACTGACCAAGAAATAACTGGTAAACTTTTATCAATATGCGGGATATTTCGAGCAATATCAGTACTTATATTTCATATGTGTAGGGTCGCTGTTCGTCCTGGTTTTCCCGGATTTTCCGACTTTAAAAGGTGTTTGATTTTAGCACTCTAAATATTTTTTTCTGATCTATCAATATTATAATTCTTTACCAAGTTTGCTATTATCTATGTATCATTTACGAATATTACGGCTTCCAACTACATATTAATGTTTTACACCAACTACAATTTTTTAAAGTTCAACCTTTAATTTTGTTAAGTTTTTTAAAATACGAAACCTTTGCAACAGCTTTACTTAATTAATCTGTGGGATCGCGTGGCAATAATAATGGATGTGAACAATTGTTATAGGCAAACAAATCTATCCACACTCATATACATGGATATCATAATCCTTTAATCTTTGTAATACAATTATACTTCTTTATCACAGCGTTCCCGAAAATGGATGATTATGTAATAAAATATAAATATACCATTATTAGTAAGATGAAGATAGGTATTTTATATCCATTTTTTTTATAGTAAACGGTGACCATCTCTTGCATATAACACTACGGATATCGCATTATAAAGGGATATATGTGGTACAAGTTAAACGTTGCAATTCTAGAGGACTAAGATAGCATCACTGTTATCCTGAATATATATGATTGAAAATTGAATTGTAATTACATAATAGTCCCAAAAAATTAACTCGATTTGAAGTTTAATGTATATTTAGCTTTATTATTTCTTCGAAACCATATAATAAAAAATAAATAAACTTAAACACATTATACTGCTCTTTGTAAACCCAAATTAAGCAGAGCTTATACTAGACAAGGTTAGACATTTTTTTAATTGTTTTTTATTATGGCTCTGTGCCATAATAAAAATCAATTAAAAAAACACAACTTTATATAAATAGTAATTTTTAGCATAACAACTGTTTGTATAGTGCACATATCGAACCCAGCACCATTGAAAAGTGAGACAATATCTTATACTAAAACACCAAAGCAGTTACAATGGTAATAAGTAAATTATAATATCTGTAACAACAGCTTTTGTTAAGTTTTCAAAAGAGTTAAATCCGTAAAAATGAAATTTCCGCCGATTAGCATCTTAATTAACCGCGGAAATTGGAAATTGTCTGCGATATCGGAATGAAATAATTTTAATAACTGCTCCATTCTAAAAAAACGTTACAGTTACTTCAAATACATTTGAATTTGTGTTTGCCAATTAATTTCTATTTTACGGAAATATTATTCATATAAATATATCTTCAAGCATTGAATTAGTTTTTTTGTATTAGCAAGATTTGAAGTCACGGCCTTTTGGATGTAGGGCGCAGTAATAAATAAATAGACCGATAACACTTATTCCTAAAGAACTAATGTCATCCTGGGTCGTTTCCGAAATAATTGTTATTATGAAATAGACTTTACTCAACAATATATTGAATATGATATTTTTATCGAAATTCATATGGATAAAGCTTCAGTAAGTATGTAGCTATTTCATTAGCATACTAATTTAAAATGAAATATCAAGATTAATCGATAATGTAAGCTACTTCATGTCTTAGTAAGTGGTTAATTAATACGAATGTCAGTAGGTACTTTAGTATTTACCTATTATTAGATATTTAATTATACATTTAAAAAGTCGATACTTTTAGGCATAAAACATTACCGTCGAAACTGGTTGTATAAATTGTATAAATACCTACAAAAACGTTATCTAAATATTCTTCAACTCAAATCTGTCAAGACGCCGACATCAGCTCCCCGCCTCTGCAAACATCTCGTGCAGATCTGACAAACGAACAAAGAAACTGCGATACGAAAATCGTTCATCATAAAGTCAAAGAATATTTTATAAGGTATTTTCTAAGAGGCTTGGGACAAAATTATATAAGCCTATTAAAAGAGAACAGGGAATTAGTGGCACCACAAAGTGGTCCCCGACATCCTTCGGCCGTTTGAAGTAAGGAAGCCTCGTGCCTACCTCAGTTCGGTATTTTCAGAGCAAGTCAAACATTTTTATACCCCCCATTCACCCTCTAAGTATTAATACCTCTCCACGTATTTATAAGTACGGTTTCTTATATTTAATTATATACGATCCAACGACACTAATGATACATAACATTTTAATACATTCGTATATATATTAAGAATATTATACATTGCAAAAAATAAAGACAATTGGTATGTCACTAATAAAAAAGAATTTAAGTATGTATTACACTCGCCTATTACAATATTATTTATATGAAAATATATTTAAGTCCTCGTATATACTATTAGAATTAATAAATAAGAAATGGAGAAAATAAAAGCATGTTTTGAAATATGCAAACTCAGCCACATGTTACCATTTTTGAAATTTTGCTGTTACAAAATAAAATATTGCTATACACAATTACAGACTCAGATTTATTTATGAACTAATATACTACTTCACTCAGTTATAACTTAGAATACTAATGAAGCCTATAAATTATTTGAAAGCCACTGCATGAATCCTAACAATATATATACAATTAAACATCAAATAATAATTACTAATTAAATTATTCCTTTTTCATAAATATAGAATGAGATTGTGGTTCTCCATACCACGTTGTTATTTCATATTTACAACATTAATTCAACAATAATATTGTTATTATATATATAATATCTTAAGAAAATTCACACAGCGCCATCTAATCCTAAGCTAAGATATAAATTTATAAATATATATTTTTTTGTAAATACATACATATTCTGAATAGAAAATTTCAGACCAGATACGAACAATTATACTCATGAATACAAATGTTTGTACTCGAAGACTATCGAAGCCATCAATATATTATTTTCTGTGTATCATGTACTCTATAATATATCAATAAAAGTGATATTCATATTGTTTAAAATACCATAATATTCTTTTTAGTACAGCACCTAATATGACCAGCGCTAAGGTTCGGAGTTTATATCATTTCAGCATGAAAAGGTTCGTATTTAGTATAATAATACTTACCAATGCGAATATTAAATCTTCCGCCTCCGTCGTTTGACATTCGAATGGTTGAATTTTGAATATTTATACCGTGGAATATTACGTTACATTATATTAGACATAATGTAAGTGTGTTTCACAGAGTCGAAATAATGTAATTGGAAACACTTGAACCGAATGAAAGAATTAGAACATTTTTTAAATTTATTGTAGACTGTATACCTACTACATATGTTAAGTAACAACATATATTTTGAAAACATTCTATCCTAATTCATATGGAATTAAAGAATTAGAATATTATTTTTACATTATATTAGACATAATGTAAGTGTGTTTCACTCGAAATAATGTAATTGGAAACACTTGAACCGAATGAAAGAATTAGAACATTTTTTTTAATTTATTGTAGGACTGTAAACCTACTACAGATATGTTGATTAACAACATATACTTTGAAAATATTCTATCCTAAATCGTATGGCTGTTTTTACGTGATACCCTAACTAATACGTAAAATTTTCAATTTGTCCTGTTACTAGATATTTTAACATCTGTAACACAGGTATTCCCTAGCACAGATGTTACGGCCTATAAATTACTGACATTGTGTAAAAAATGAATAAATATATTATTATTATTATTATTATTATATAAGTACTGTTGTGTAATGACAATAAAGAAGTTACTGTATATTACCATTTCATTATATGAATACAACAATGTTGATTTGATAAAATATACATAAACGTCAAAATATGCAAAAAAATATTTACACAGTTTATAAAATAATTATGCAAATTTTAGGAAATAACTCGTATAATCGTTTTGTATATTTTTCTCATTGTCTTCGGGTATACAATATAAACTTGTAAAGCCTGACCAAAAATAATATAAACCATGTTTCCGTGCCCTTTTCTTGTTTAAGTTTAGTGTTTATTAATAATAATATTTATATATTTAACTA